ATGGCCATACCAATTACTGACAATTCTGAAACACTCCGCCATTTTGGCGTCAGTTAGAAGCATGGACTTGAAACCGTTGAAAATATTGACGGACTAATCGTCTAATGGCTAATCGTCAACGGGTCGTGGGTTTGACCCCCACTGGGTCAATTTATATGTTTTTTGAAACATGTTGGTCTTCGTCTAGAAGTCTGGGCATAATATGGATGGTAGGTCACTACAGTCCACAAATGAAAAAGCCGCGTTTCGATTTCAATCTGTGGATTTCCGAATAGCCATAATAGATCGATAACACATCTTATTTAGACGCTGGGGTTTATCAGCGACCATCAAATAAACTCCACGCGTATCTATCCTCCTCTAGTATCATTAAAACTAACTAACTACATTCGAGAACCATACCACCATACATGCCGTTTCATGTCCTGCCCGTGTCGAAATTTTTTTCAACAATAGATTGTTTTCCCAGGATTTTAATCCGGAACGTGCTCAAAAGCTAGGTCAAAACGAAGCTAAGCAATACGTTAAACCATTTGGCTATAGAAGCGATAATTCTATTTTTAATATAGTCAATACAATATTGTGTATTTAGAAAATAAATAATTCAATGTTTTCTTGCATTTAATAAAAGCATCATTCAAAAATGTAATTAAAAATTTACTTTAGGAGCTTTGAGCTCGACAGAGATTCAACGTCGAAATAGGGCAGCTACTCGAAAATGAATGGACTCTTTTTAACGTCGAGTTTCTGTTGCAGACTCGTAACACAAGGTTACGTGAAAAGAGCTCGCTTCTTCATACTAATTAATTTGGGTTAAGTCAGTTTTATTTAGTGAACTCTTTTAGTCGCCTAATTGGGACGCTTTTATGATTCTGTAGGCTTTAAAAATTTGTTTCACTATTTATCGTATATGACTATTATTAACTGATACGATATTTGGCTAGATGAGTTTGGAATATGTAAAGAAAAAGTAATTTTTATTTTTCGATTAACCAACAACATCGTGAGACTTAAATGAAACACTTTTAAAGTTTTAATATATTATAACCCATTTAAAATTTGATGTTACTACCGGCCAACGTTTCGGATGCTTTGTAGCAGCCGTCGTCACGAAGGGACAAAAATAAGTTACCTAATATATATCGCGTTTAAAACCGTTAATAGTTTAATATGTACAATTCGGGTACACTACAGACAATACTTAACCAAATGAGATTGTGAATAAATACCGATCCTTATATTATAATAATACGAGTAACTATTGATTTATTTTATTATTCGAATGCCATTATGGAATTATGATACGATGTGTCAGCTTGCTTTTTGATGTTATTATAAAAAAATATACGTTTATTATCGTTTGAAAACTTTAATATTTTTCACACCTTGTGAAATAAAAATCGATAATAAATTGAACAAGAAAATAGGACTCGGGCAGGACTTGAATGCGCGTGAGTTAAGATTGAATTACATTGCGCAAGAGTATGTATCAATAGGTCGAAAAATTCGACGATGACGATGCTGAGGATGCCTGATCTATATTTTTTTCAATTCGAACCCGTAGTGAGATTACCGCGTTCAAATATACAAACAAACTCTTTAGCTTTATATGTTAAGTATATATTTTTATATTAATCTAGCTTTTTTGTGATAGAGGAGGCCAGACAACATATGAATGCCCCAGCAATATAACTCCTGTAAGGTGCGCTATCGACTTCTATCACTTATGCTATCTCTATGCTTCTGTTCAGTTGTATTCACATTACACACTTGATATATATATACAACCATAAATGACTTAATACTGCGTTTCCGAAATCCATTCGTGGAATTAGTTGTTTGCATTAAAAAGCCTAATGCTTCCGAGACATTACAACTGATTTATTTTAAACGTATGGGTTAAGAATAGAATTTGGTGGATGTCTCTACTGTAGTTTGGAAAATATGGGTTACTTTCTTTCTATAACTAATTTACGTTATTTTATAAACCGCCTTTATACGTTAGTACTTAAAATGTTTCCTCTTTTATAGGTTATTTTTTGTAGTATGTGCTTTAAATAATAAAGCTGTGAGAAATAAATATTGATTTATTTATAATAATAAAATACATACGTTTAATATGGAAACAACGTGTGACTTCTGATTAGGTAGAAAGTCTTATGAATAAGAAATAATCTACTAAATCTCTTTTCTATTATTTGTTTTCACATCATTCATTTCGTAGACAAGTAGTTGATTACAATCTATACTCGGCCAATAACAGGCTATTCATTTTGCCAGGATTCGAAGCTAGGATCTTTCGCATCTACCGCAATGCTCTTGAGCCACCAACTTAATCTTAAATTTAGTTAGGGGCAAAGTCCGTCTGAATATACAAGGCCAAAATAGGAAGACCACGCATCTTGTTTAGATGCTATAGGCTGGGGTATTTATTAGTATGCCTGTCTGACCTCCTCTATCAATTAATAAAAGTAATTCTAGGTCTGTATCTATCTATATATGCCTGTATATAAGTACTATGTGTAGTTTACGCTAGAAGTACGTATTTAAATAAAACACTTTACCGGTTTAGAGAGCGATATACATATATTAGTTAAATTGATTTGAAAGTTATTTTTTCCCGACGTTTCGGATGCTTGCCAGCAGTCGTGGTCACGGGGAGACTGAAATACTTAAAATAATGAAACTGTCGCGTTTGAAACCGTTAAAGTGTTTTAATTATATACCTATATTTGTCTGTATGTAAGTGATAATAATTTTGAAATTCCATTTAATGTTACCACTTTTTCTATCCCATTCTATATGGGATCGTGGTGAGTTTTCATAAATCACTCACAAGCACACGAGCGTAATTCAATTATCGAAGTATTTTACGACGCCCAACAAATCAATGTTTTGACGTTTCAATCTTGCATAGACACGCTTTTAATCTTCACGCATTGTTCCTGCGTTCGGAAGCCCTCACTTGCGTGTTAATAAACTAAGAACATTATTTGAGATGAGATAAACTTATGTCGGACGTCGTAATAACCATCAATCTCTATGTCACTTACCGAGTTTGTTTGTTTTTAGCACGCGCGTATCAACGGAGTCGAATTACAGATATTAATCACATAGACTTTACGATGATTTATTTCCGTTAATAAGCTGACAAGTGGTTGGTATTTTCGTTTCAGCGTATTCCATAGATATTCCTTTAGGCTACTCTAGTGCGGTATATAACTATCTGTGTCGGCGACATCGTCCGCCTAGAATAGTAAATTATTTCGGCCATCAAAATTTGTTTTTGCAAACCGCCTCTTCTTCTTTACAAATTTAAGCTGTAATAATGTTTAAAGATAGACTTATATAGTGTTGCTAACATTTTTGTATATCATTTAAAGAATTATCATTCCTTCGCATAAACTTTTCGGGTATCTTGAACCGTTTCGCATGGGGCGAAGACATTTCTGTGTCCGTTTCATTGATCCGTTCTTGTAACGGGCAAGTAGTTCATCAGAATTCTGTGCCCTGCCCGACCAAAACATTTTTTTTTTGTTTCCCTGCGATTCGAACCCACGACCTATAGCGCTTAACGTAATGCTAGACAATACGTTTAACCATATGGCTACAGAGGCGGTCGAATTTTAGGAGTAGTAGTAGTCAATGTTTTTTTAGGTTGACATCTAAATTGACGTCAAATTTATTGATATCTGTTTAGTCGTAGGATTAAAGAATAACAATTCTCGACGCTAGTAAGTAACTTACATATTATATTTCGTTGAAAATATACACATGATAAGTTGGAAAAATGATATCCTTTCATAAAATATATAATTTTAAAAGGATTTGTTATTTTATTTTGAAATAAGGAAATAAAAAAATATATTAAGATGTATATATTTCACAGTATATTTTTCGGTTTCAGTCTATGGATTCCCGAATTTCCAAAGTCAAAATAGATCCACAGCACATCTTGTTTAGATCTTGTCACGATCCAAATAAATGTCATGGTTTATCGGCCTCTTCTAGTAAAAAAAGTAGATTTTTTTATCAATTCTAATTGCATAAACTAGTATACCTTTGACGTAAATATTGACGAAGTGACACACACACGAAAAAATAATTAACGCACCACAGATACAGATTCGAATAAAAGTACGTGGGAAGTACTTCAGCGCAACTCGGATTATTGAGTGAGTTATTTGTTCTACGTCAGGAATTGATTGATCGGTAGGCGAGCTTTTCTCTATTTTTAATCTAGCTGTGTATCGATTGATACATTTTTAGTCTGTGGATATGTTCAAACATATTTCAACGCTTTTTTCATATGCATTAGGTATGGCGAAAACGCCTTTTTATATAACAATATACGTATTTAGGATTTAAACTTGGATAGGATTATTCTTAGAAAAAAAACGTGATTTGTAATCCAAATTACTTTTTTTTTACCTGTTCGTAGACATGAAATTTCGTAGACTTAGCTAGTAACCATAGTATGTATTGTAGCTTTAACCACTTCAAAATCGCACAATCTTAAAGTACACAGAATCTCTACATTCGTAAACGTATGTATTAACATCTAGTAATTATTTACATCTTTTTTTTATTCATCTACAACTCAATGACTTATCGTGTCATAAGCACTAACACAACAGCCACGTAATAGGTAAAAATCCTAGAGACAGACCATACTACAGTGTTTGTCTATAGAAGCAACGGGATATCACTTTTTTATTGACTAAATAACTTTACTCCTTTTCACAACGTTACATATTAAAAAAATGCGCAAAAACAAATACCAAATTAAAACAGGGTCATAGACTATATATCACTATCTACTTACAAACAACTTATCTATTAATTTCTTTATCTCTTTTCACAGATACGATATCGAGAAAATATCGCAGAAACAAAATGGTTGAGACCGGCGTGACGTGAAGTGAAAGTTTTGGACGGAATAGTACAGTTTAAGTGAAATTACGTGACCATAAGTGAAAAGTCACTATAAGTGAGTGATAATGATCAATCTCGTCATGTGTCAAAGGCCCCTAATCGCGTTCCTCTGCGTATCGATGTGAGTATTGTGTAACAAACAAGTTTTATTTTGCTTAATTTTTTGTGATACGTTTGTGTGTAATTACAAACGAGGTGTTGTGTTACTTCGATTAGCACAAATATACAAGAAAACAAACGCAAGTGACAGTCACTGATTTTCTTTTGTCAATTAATTTAAAACGTTGTTTTCAATACATTTCCTTAAATTCGTACATTCCGTCTAAGATAAGCGCTAATTATGTTACTTATGTATGCTACATACTCTGTGGCATACGTAGTAACTACCAGTTATTAAATTTGTATTTTATTCTTTACTTTTCTGTACACTACAAAATTTCTAAGGGTGTCAATGTATGGCTAATAATTAACAATCTATTTTTTTTTTGTTATGTTGGACTTCGCCTGTGTAGAAATATCTATATTCCGTCCGTGTTTTAATCGCGTGACGGTTTCAGTCTTTGGATTTCCGAATATCCAAAGCCGAATATCCGAAATAGGACAACCATATTTTTTATTAGTTATTTATTCATAACTATTTAGTATCAAAATCATTTTCTTTACGCTTCCGCTGGCAGTCACAATATCGTTATTGTTTGTTGAGAGATTCAGACAACGATAAAAAAGCCTATTAACTTTTATAAAATGATTTACAGGATCTATTGATTGATCATAACAAGATGGCCTATAAACCTTATAACTGTCTTTTTAATTCGTTGTTTATATCCAGCCATAAATATAATTTTTATTTTATATTCGAATAGTACATTAGTGTAGGTTATAATTTAATTAAGCTTCACTTATTTTATAGCTTCTACGAGTCAATAATTTATGACTTATCGTTTTGGTTCTCGCGTTGCTATTAAGACAATCTTCAATACATTTATTTTTTATTAAATGTGCACGCGACATCGTTGGAGTTCAATAGTTATTTAGGGCATAATAATAAACAACCTCCTAAGTTACCCACGACGAAGAAAGAAGCTCCTCGCTTGGAGCTGATGGCGTGGATACCACCCGTGAACATGCGTATTACAGTACCAAGGCAAAACCAGCAACCACCTGAAAACCATCTTGTTCTGTACACAGAGGTACTGCACGAGTAGGAAGAACTCAATATTCATCTACGCGTCGATATACAGTCCAATTGGTAGTACAGCACGAAATACTGAATCTATCTTCTCAATCGGACATAAATGTGCAAGAGATATATGGGAATAATAATAGTGAAGTGTGAAAGCCCGTTTCCCCCTCGTGGGGCATGGGGCGAACACGTTTCTGTGTCCGCTCCACTGATCCGTTCTTTTAACGGGCAAGTAGTTGATCAGACTTCTATGCCCTGCCCGGCCGAAACAATTTTGTGTTTTCCTGGAATTCGAACCCAGGATCTCTCGCCCTTAACGCAATACTAAGCAATACGTTTAACCATTTGGCTACAGAAGCGGTCTAAATAATAATTATAATTTAATAAATTTGATTTATTTAGGGAACAACAGAAGGCTTATAATAAGCTACTCTCAGTTAGTCTTCTCATTACCATTCGAAATGCTATCTAGATATCGTAAATAATCTACGTTTAGATTTATTTATAGACAGATATCAATGCAAAACATGCTGCAAGTCTATAAATTCGTTTAAGGAAGATATAAAGGCTTTATCAAACATCGATACTATTACTATTCAAAGTTACATGATTTAAAATCTTTAATGAAAATAAATTAATAGTAGCCAATTTACCAAAATTTTACAATTACACAAAATAATAAAAAAAATAATTGTATGCGTGACTGAAACATAGATTATAAGTTGGCTTACAAATATCATTTTTATATATATACTAATTCACTAACTTTAAAAGTAGTTTACAATTATTAATGTATAGTTAAACAAAATTTTAAAAAAGCAATAATTTATCGAGTTTATTTAAATTAACATTCGTACATAACACTACTAGTGTATATGTTACTGAAACATAAATGAAAAAATTGTTTTACAATAATTATTACCTGATAAATTGTAAATTTAATCATTTTTACATGAATAAGCATATTAAATTCTACATTAAAAACTTTAACGCTTCTTCTGTGTGAAACGGTTACGGTTAAACATTTTCGTCATTAATGCTCTAATTTCGCTATTACTTTAAAATTGCATAATTGCGTGGTCGATATTTATGAATGGCTGTTTCCGTGGGCGATCTGGATTCAATCGTAACGGATTCCGTGTTATTTGTTAATCTTTAGTAATTCATAGACTGAGGTGTTGCGGAAATGAAATTTCGTGCTATTTACATAAGACTGGCTGTACCAGCGGATTCGTCCATGGATAATAGGTATTTTAGGAATAGGGATAAAGATTGGAAGATGTTCTTGCGAGTTAATCTTAAAAGATAGACATAGGGTCGCGAACTTTCTTTAGGTCATTTAAACGAATATTTCTTTCGTACATAATTTTGGATATTTTGAAGTTATTCCGTAGCGCACTCAACAGAAACCCTCTAATTAATATTTTTCCCCATTTTTTCCACATTTCCCACTGTTTCTTGACTCCTCTACTCTTCCATAAATGCTTTAACCAACACTAAAATAATTTTTCAATTCCAGTATTTCCTAAGATTAGCGAGTTCAAGCAAACGAACTCTTCAGCTTTATATATTAGTATAGATTAATTCAATATAATAATAATAATAATTTAATACTATCTTTAGTTTACGCGAGTAGTACACATTAAAATAAAACACTTTAACGGTTTAAAACGCGATATATTACATGGTGGGTACAACATATTCAGACTAGTGTAAATATCAGAATAAGGGCTCCGCGCAAAATAATAATATATCCGTGACATCTTCTTCTATAAAATGCAATGCCCAATGTCATAGAAGGTGTCAAAACGGCTGTCTCTTTTGAATTTATTGCTTACCTATTGATTCGTAGGACACGTTCGAGACATTCAACGTTTTGTTGTTTCGTGAGATTTATTGGCGCAAGCGCGGCGAATTTATTCTGAATTAAATTAGGTAGTTTTTATTTATGGCGACAGATATATTTTTCTTTAGCTGAAGCCAGGATACATTTCACACATAACTCATATATTTCGCTTCACATCGGCACTGATTTATTATGTTTAAAATGTTACACATTTCACGGGATATGGTACGTGCAGTTAATATTAAAAAAGTATAACATCTATCATCTTTATTTATAGTAGAGAAGGACAGAAGCAGGGGTTCACTAGAAGGTAGGTGAAATACGCCAGCCATATTACATTTTCATAAGATGCGCTAGCGACCCATGTTGGCTTTGGATGTTTGGAAATCCATAGACCGAAACGCCATGAAACCTTTTTTTTTTCATCTGAGTACAGTAGTTCGAGACTCGGGCGGAATTTCGATGTTCTTAATACCCCATTAAAATTCAGATTAAGTCAAATTTAAGAAATTATATAAATTAATTTTTTAAAAATTGAGATTAAACCCACGACCCATTGAATATTAAGAATACATTGCTGCCATTACACCAACGAGTCTTGTACAAGAATATTTTAAAATAAATTAATAAAAGGAACAGTTGTGACAGACATTTGTTACAATGACGACGAAGTTTTAAGCAAATTATTTTACGCATTGTCTGTAGTTGAAGGGAGTAATGCAGTAATGCACATTTAAATAAAACACTTTAACGGGTAGCCTGACCACGGCTGCTGCAAAGCATTCGAAACGTCGGGCCGAAGTTAAAAATCATTTTCAAAGAAGTTTAACTAATATATCGCTTTTTAAACCGTTAAAGTGTTTTATTTAAAAATACACATTTAATTAAAAGTCGCTCGTCTTCTATGCTACCAAGGGCATATAAATAAATAAAATAAAATACAAGTATTAAAAGTATTTATGAATGGAGTCTCAAACAGTAATATTTTTGCTATGCAATGAAAAACACACTTTGCTTGTCAGACAAACAATATACCTATATTAGTGTTCCATAATTACTTGTGTAATACATATCATGTTTCGTTCTGGGAAATATACAGGATGTTATTAATAAAGTTATTACTATGTACGTGAGTCGAATTAAAACTAATTCAATTTTAAGTACTGTGTGTATTTTACGCGAGTAGTACACGTGCAAATAAAACACTTTTAACGTTATAGAACGCGAAATATTTTAAAATTGGAACACTTATTTTATCTACGACCCCATGTCTAGAACACTTTGCAGCTTAGCTACAAACGAAATGTCGGGTCGTAGTTGTTAAAATAAATTGTAAATAAGTTAACGAATATATTTCGCATTTTAAACCGTTAAAATGTTCTGTTTAAATAATTGAATTTTATCCTTTAAATTTGAACGTGTTAGCGGTAAAACGTAAAATATATTAAGTCTTTAGTATATTCTTTAGTGGTTATTAAAAGATGGAATTCAACAAAAATAAATGTTTCTCGGTTAAAACAATAGATTTTTTTTATCTATTTTTGCGTCTTTCCTTTGCCCCAACCGAACAAGATTTTTTATTCGCTTTTTACCTACTTCTCGTTCTTTATTAGTTAACATAGCATAAATTCCATTGCGCTACAGTAACGATCATAATCGATAACAATGTTTGAAATCAATCGAATTAAGCAATAATAACAGGTGCGTTTCCTATCGCTTTGTGAATTCTAGGAACATGTCATGATTCTATATACATTCAATGTCAATCGAGTACCTTTTATCAATCGATTGGTAATCGATGGTGTACATTAGTTTGTTAGGAATCGAGTACTCGATGCGTGGTTGAACTTGAGCGAAAATAGATCAGTTCTTGTGAGATTGTAAATAAATCAACGGATAGTGTTTGAACGTAGTTAATGTTTAGTGGTTGTTTTATTTTCATTATTTTTATTTCTAGTTAAAATCAATTAATAAAAAAAACCCTTATTTATTATAAAAGCTATAATATTTGGAGGAGAACAGACAAGCCTGGGTGTCATTTGATGAATGGCGATGGACCGTTAGCTGTTAGTTAACCGGCCTGGTTAGTTTG